TTTCCAGAGGGTTCAACCCCGGATGGAAGGAAGCAAAGGGATGAGGTCCTGCTGTGGGTGGAATAGTCAGTGCTCCATGCCTGGCAAAATGCTCCATGGGGTTGGTAGCGGGGTGCAGCGCGTCCAGCTCGGGCGGCTTCACCTCGAAGCCTGGTTTCATCCTCTCCCTCAGCTCCCGCTCCCGGATCTCCCTCTCCCGGATCTCCCTCTCCCGCAGCTCCCGCTCCCGGATGGTGGGATCCACGTTGTAGAGCCCAGGCATGTGGTAGGCCAGCAGGGGATCCGTGGGGTTCAGGGGCACGAAGAAGGGGTGGTTGCGGTTCGTGGGCGACATGACGTGCGGCCGCGCGTACTCGCTCAGTGTCCGTAACGCCGGCGTGTCCGGCCCGATGTAAGGTGGGACAGCAGCAATGGTGGTGGGGGGAGGTTCAAAGGAAGGTCTCATGTGTGCTGGGCCACTCAGCTGGGACTCCCCCAGACGGCCTTCGTGGGAGGAGCTGGATACTTTCTGCTGCACAGAATGGGGGGAGAGAGGTTTAGTTCCACGCGAGGTGGCTCAGAACATTGCAGGTGCTCACTTTGCATCTTTGCTTCAGCTCTAAGAAGTTCAATCTGCTGAGCCTCAGCACTCCTGCAGCTCTGAGCTCCAATGCACGAGGCAGAACAGCACTGCAGGGAGGGCAGTGAGCATGGTTTACCCATCCAAGTGTCCAAGGATCTCCATCCCCATAAATAAGTCCCCATACACAGCATCATAGCATGTTAAGTGGCTGGAATGGAGCTTAAAGATCACCCAGCCCCAACCCCCTGCCCTGGGCAGGGACACCTCCCACCAGAGCAGGTTGCTCAAGGCTTGATCCAACCTGGAATGAACATTGCCAGGGTTGGGGCAGCCACAGCCTTCCCTGGGCAACCTGTGCCAGTGTCTCACCACCCTCACAGGGAAAAACTTCTTCCTGATACCTAATCTAAACTTCCCTCTTTCAATTTATCCCCATTACATGACACATCCCTTAATGGACAGAAGCTATGCCCTGATTTATAATCCCACAAAAGCACACATCTGGGATTTAAGACCTCCAAAATGCACTAGGGAATAAGATGACTTTAGCACCTTTTTTCTCAGCATTGGTATATGACCAGCCTACCACTTCTGTAGGCCCAGAAGTAACTGTTCCTTTCCAACAGGCCACAGAAAAATGGAATAGTGTATTGGCACTTTATACCAAGAATTTGGATCTCCCCATTAAAAAGAAGTTAATTAAGTTTCCTTGAAACTTCAGAAGCCTTCAGATCTCCTTTCCCCAGCAGACAGCACTCGTGTGCCTGCACAGCAATGCAAGGGACACAAAGGCTTTCACTGTATCTGCACAATGTTCTCCGACTGCAAGTAAATGTCAACACTTGGCCTAGCTCTCCCCAGCTGCTCTGGCTTCCCACACACCAAAACCAAACCAGGAGCAGAAACTCCATTTCCTATAAGGAGCAGACAGCCCCAGGCTGGCTGGAGGTGCTCACAGTGGCCTGGATTGTTCACAGACACCTGACTGCAGAGGCACTAAAGTGCCCCTGGGGATGTGCACTCTGCAGTCACCACCCAGCTCAGCCCCAACCACCAACAGCTGAGCCACAGCTGAACCTACCGCAGCTCTCTCTGCCTCTCGCTCCCGCTCACGTTCCCTCTCTCTTTCCTTCTCTTTTTCTTTTTCTCTTGCCCTCTCTTCTCTGGCTTTCTGCTCTGCTTCCCTTTTGGCCTTTTCAATGGCCTCTTCTCTCTTCTTGGCCAGTTTGGATCCTGCCAGAGGCATGAAGTATAAGTCTGCTCTTGAGCATGAATTGTAGCCACGGTCCAGGTGCTTATAGAACCTGAAAGAAACACAAGACAAAGAGTTTAGTCTGGGATTTGAGAGCTGTACTCAAAAACAAAAGGATCACTCTACACTTACACAAAGCACTAACAGCTACCCTGAAAGCCACGAGAAAATTGATTGTACCACATTATTCCACAGACAGTGGAGTATAAACCCAGAGCACGATAAGCACTGATGAAACCTCCATACCTGGCTGACTGACTGGCATGACTTGGGATATCCACCACAGTGGGCTCTGGGGATGGACTCCTGGGTGGAGGTGGAGGACTTTCTGGTTCCTCAGCTTCATCTGGGACCTCCTCTTTGATCTGGATCGGTGGCAGCGTGCAGGCTGTCACCACTGGCACAGTCCCACTAGAGGCTGCTGATGTGGAGATGGAAGTCTGGAGCGGGATGCCAGGCACGGTGGGAGGTGTGGACGTGGAAGGGCACGAAGGAGGGGTGATGGAAGGTGGCCCTCCTGGGACAAAGGGATGCTGAGAAAAGGGGGGCTGGGAGGATACCTGATGGAGCCCAGAGGGAGGGTGACTAGCAGGAGGGGGAAGGCTCTGACTCTGGGTCAGGACAGGAGGTTGGGCTTGTGAGGACTGCAGGGGTTGGCTTTGAGGCATCAGCTGCAGAGGAGGAGGGTGTGCAGATGGGGGGTGATGAGTCGAGAGGGAGCTCAGAGGTTTCAAAGCGGGTGGAGGAGGCAAGTTGGAGTTCATGGAGAACGGAGACGGGCCAGAGAGATGAGGAGGGTGCTTGTGGGATGGAGCAGTGGGGAGCTGAGGGAT